TTAGAAAAGCACAGGAAATGACAGTGGCCATCCAGATCAGATACTGTATCAACTGAGAACATAGCGAGAGACAGAACTCTGGATAAATGTGAAGAAAAACCGAGGGGAATAAAGCAAAACGAGCTGATTATAGAAGAGAATGAGAAAGGAAGACAAGAGTTAAGCCGGCAGTAAAGTCTGTCAGGCCCCAGTCACATGTGCGGCTGAAGATTGTAGACGTGACTGTGGGACGTCCGGGCAGATTTCCTATTTGAATCCGAGTCCAGCAACTGCAGCTCTATATCAGCATGCTAATTGCTGACTTTAACCACTTCTGTTTGTTGTGTAGTCTTCCTTTTCTGAGAAAAAAAAAATGAAGTTCCTGTCTCGGCTGTCAGAGAGAGATAGAGAAAGAGAACAAGAGTTGTAGTGTGCTCGGACAGTCAGGCGCTGCGGGGTCGTACGTTGAAGAGTTGAAATTCAGTCACTGCGAAGAAATCAGGATCTGCTAGAGATAAACAGGTACTGAAGTTCTTTAATAAAAGTGTGTACTGTATACTCTTGTGTGTGCTTATAGATTTGGGACAAAATTGTTCTTTGTAGAGACAAAACAGACAATTTTTAAAAAATGATTATCAACAGAATTATATATTGAATTATTTTATGACATTATTTATTATTTAGATTTTTACTATCACAATTATACTACCAATATGTATTTATTTATTTGGTTGTTTGTATATTACATATGAATGCATTTATTAATTATTAATTTATTACATTTTTGTTTTTTTAAAGCTACTTAAAGTTTTCTTCCAGGATAAGGGTTAGCTTAGTAAAAATGATTATTTCACCAGCAGTATAACTAACTTCAGGGGGATTGGACGAAAGGACGATTGCCATCCACAACTTTACTATAGTTTTTTCTCGTTGTATTCTGCCAGTGGGTAGTTTCCTGTGCAAGCGTGGGCATGCTAGCGTACAATGCAGGAAACCACTGATTCAAAGCCTGTGCATTTCCCCTCTTTCCTGCTCTCTCAGTATTTTCCTCGGCGTGTGCCTTTTTCCCGCCCCATTACACTATTGAAACTGACACAAAAAGTCCAAAAGTATAAGTTCTTGTAAATGCAGCTTTGATCTATCTCCGTCTTTATCTCTTTCTCACATCTCTATTATTTTCTCTGTTGATTTCTCCATGTGGCTCTCTGGAGGGAGGGCCTCTGTTCTTTCTGACTGGAGCTTTATTCAGTGTGGCTTAATTGGAAAGAGAGGGGAAACGATCATTAGAGGAAGTGGAAAAAGAGAAGAGAGTTTACATGGATGTGATCATTGAGATGAATATTTGCTAAGGCACATTCCTAACCATACGTTTTAAACCTCAATATGTAACTTGTCGACTGCGGGTGGACTTTTTGACTTCGACAGTAAGCCACCACCTAACCACCTCCTAGAACAACCCGAATTTTGTAAGCACCATTTTCAGAAAATATAAAAAATCTAGCTATGAAACAGCAACCACCCAGAACACCCAAGTAACACCCTGGCAACCACCCATAACAAATTCCCTAGCATTATGGAGATGACTTCAGGCAAGCACCACTCACAGTCACCTACAGTAGCAATTCGCTAGTAAACACCTACTAGCTACAGCCTAGTAAACACAATGAAAACCCTAGTAACCACTAGAGATGTGACCGAATACCTTATTTGGGAAGGCACAGATAATGGCTTCAGAATAAACAACAAATTCTTCCACTCTAGCATTATGGAAGTAACTTTTACAAGGAAAAGCACTACACACGCACATACAGAAAAATGCACGGAAATAAGCTAGTTATAAGATATCAACTACATTAACCACATAGAACCCCTACAACACCCTAGCAACCACCCAGAACACTAGCAACACCCTTACAACCACACAGAACACTATCGTTGTTGAAGGAACTTTTACAAGGGAAAGCACCACACATGCACATACAGAAAAAAGCTAGTTATGAGATATCAACTACATTAACCACATAGAACCCTCTAGCAACACCCTAGCAACCACCCAGGACACTAGCAACACCCTAACAACCAAACAGAACACTATCGTTGTGGAAGGAACTTTTACAAGGGAAAGCTCTACACATGCACATACAGAAAAATGCACGAAAAAAGCTAGTTATAAGATAGCAACTACATTAACCACATAGAACCCTCTAGCAACACCCTAGCAACCACCCAGAACACTAGCAACACCCTAACAACCACACAGAACACTATCGATGTGGAAGGAACTTTTACAAGGGAAAGCACCACACATGCACTTACAGAAAAATGCACAAAAAAAAGCTAGTTATAAGATATCAACTAGATTAACCACATAGAACCCTCTAGCAACACCCTAGCAACCACCCAGAACACTAGCAACACCCTAACAACCACACAGAACACTATCGATGTGGAAGGAACTTTTACAAGGGAAAGCACCACACATGCACTTACAGAAAAATGCACGAAAAAAAGCTAGTTATGAGATAGCAACTACATTAACCACATAGAACCCTCTAGCAACACCCTAGCAACCACCCAGAACACTAGCAACACCCTTACAACCACACAGAACACTATCGTTGTTGAAGGAACTTTTACAAGGGAAAGCACCACACATGCACATACAGAAAAAAGCTAGTTATGAGATATCAACTACATTAACCACATAGAACCCTCTAGCAACACCCTAGCAACCACCCAGGACACTAGCAACACCCTAACAACCAAACAGAACACTATCGTTGTGGAAGGAACTTTTACAAGGGAAAGCTCTACACATGCACATACAGAAAAATGCACGAAAAAAGCTAGTTATAAGATAGCAACTACATTAACCACATAGAACCCTCTAGCAACACCCTAGCAACCACCCAGAACACTAGCAACACCCTAACAACCACACAGAACACTATCGATGTGGAAGGAACTTTTACAAGGGAAAGCACCACACATGCACTTACAGAAAAATGCACAAAAAAAAGCTAGTTATAAGATATCAACTAGATTAACCACATAGAACCCTCTAGCAACACCCTAGCAACCACCCAGAACACTAGCAACACCCTAACAACCACACAGAACACTATCGATGTGGAAGGAACTTTTACAAGGGAAAGCACCACACATGCACTTACAGAAAAATGCACGAAAAAAAGCTAGTTATGAGATAGCAACTACATTAACCACATAGAACCCTCTAGCAACACCCTAGCAACCACCCAGAACACTAGCAACACCCTAACAACCACACAGAACACTATCGTTATGGAAGAAACTTTTACAAGGGAAAGCACCACACATGCACATACAGAAAAATGCACGAAAAAAGTTAGTTATAAGATATCAACTACATTAACCACATAGAACCCTCTAGCAACACCCTAGCAACCACCCAGAACACTAGCAACACCCTAACAACCACACAGAACACTATCGATGTGAAAGGATCTTTTACAAAGGAAAGCACTACACACGCACATACAGAAAAATGCACGAAAAAAAGTTAGTTATAAGATATCAACTACATTAACCACATAGAACCCTCTAGCAACACCCTAGCAACCACCCAGAACACTAGCAACACCCTAACAACCACACAGAACACTATCGATGTGGAAGGAACTTTTATAAGGGAAAGCACTACACACGCACATACAGAAAACGTACAAAAAAGCTAGTTATGAGATAGCAACTACATTAACCATCCTGAACGCCCTAGCAACCACCCATAACAAACAACTTAGCATTATGGAGATGACTTCAGGCAAGCACCACTCACAGTCACCTACAGTTGCAATTCACTAGGAACCACCTACTAGCAATAGCCTAGTAAACACAAGGAAAACCCTAGTAACCACTAGGTATGTGACCGAAAACTTTATTTGGGAAGGCTACATTAACTAACATGAACACCCTAGCAACCACCCATAACAAACAATTTAGCATTATGGAGATGACTTCTAAAAGGGCAAACACCGCTCACAGTCACCTTGAAATGACACCATATACACCATAGCAATGCCCTAGCAACTACCTAAAGCAATCTGCCATCATAGAGGCAACTTTTGCATGGGCGAGCATCACTCACAACCATCTAGTAATGCCATTTGCAAAAATGCAAAATCTAGCTGATATAGCTAACCCAGAACACCCTAGTCACCACATAACAACACCTTCACAACCACCCAGAACACCATTGCATCCTGGAAGTGACGTTTACAAGGGCAAGTACCACTCACATTCAGAAAATGTAAAAAAAACAACAACAAGAAAACAATAGTTGTGAGACGGCGACTACAGTAACCACCCAAGCAAACACCATAGCATAATGATGACGAATTAGTCCTGCCGTTATGAATAATCATACCCATGTTATACACATTTAACCATGTTTTATATATATATAAACCACCTGTGTCTGAGTGTGTATGGAGAGTGAATGTTGAAATCAGGATTTAATTTACTCTTAACCAAGAACAGCTGTATCAAAGGCACATCAGAATAGAGACAGAAAGAGGGAGACAAAGGTCTTTCTTTCAATCCCATGTGATAAATGGTCCTTCCCCTGTGCCCAGTGCATGATGGATGTGTCTAATGCTTTCTGGGTGATGCAGGATTTGGGACTGACAGGTAGAGTAATAGTCATCTGAGAAGAAATCGATGGGGTTCATGGGAAATAAGTGCGATGACAATGGGGGCAGCTTGGCCTGTGCTATGTTTACTTTGAGGGATGGTTGCCCCTCACACGCCTGCCGTGTTGCACCCATAAAGACAAACAGGCAGAAGGAGGTGATGGCAATATTTCACTGAAGATGATGGAGCTGGGTGTCATGGGTGGCTGTTTATCCCTGTCATAGTGCCCGTGAGATAGAACAGGCTGTCTTCATGGGGAGAAACTCGCAATTGGATGCAGTGTCTATCTATGTATATGTATATCTATTCCGTCTGTCTGTCTAAAGTGTTCTGTTATGTTTTTTGTGCAGGACAAGCGATGTGGCGAAATTGCCCATTCTCCATCACTGGACGTGTTTTTACCAGAGGATGAGGACAACCCTTACGAGTCAGTAGCTACAGCGGTCACACGCAAACCTTGCTCTCTTGACATCCAACTCCACAACGCATGTCCTCGCAACGGTTGGTAACTTCTAATCAATGAAACTAGCAATTGAAAAATGATGGAAATAATCTCCACATGCACTATCTGTACACCTCATACTTTGTACACCTCAGTAAGTCAACATAAAGCATTAGCAGTTGATTTTTCTTGTATATGATGCATTTCCATGTCAAACAAGATACTCAGCAGAGACAAATGGGCAGGACTTTGTATCCATTGGGAATTGATTGGATTTGGAAATGTTCCTAAAAATGTATATACAGGCTATTACTTATACAGGCTATGCAGATTGTTCTCAGGGGCAGGGGTTAGGGGTGTAACGGTACACAGAAGTCACAGTTTGGTACGTACTGTACCTTCAGTTTTGGGGTCACAGTTTGAGTTCGGTACAACAGGAAAAAGAAACAAATCCCCTATGCTAGGTTTCTTTTCATTTATTTTGAACAGACAGTAGTGAAAATTACAGTTTGTTCCATTTACTTTTATTACACATCTCTTGTTTAATAAAAGTACACAATAAATAGAACAATGAAACATAAAACTTGTTCAAAGATTAGTTTTCTTTGCATGTTAATGGTCATTAACATACTGTGACAATGGTGGATGCACAAAGTTCAGTATCACACTTTTTCAAGAAATCAGAGAAAGAGAAAAAGTGGCATCTACTGTACATCTGAGCCTGTTTTCCACATGAAGCGACATCTGAGGCTTCCCATTTAAAGAACACGCATATTTCATCACTGGACTTAAGTGAGACTTAGTAAAAACAACTTAAAATACGTTAAAAAAACTGTAGAGTCTATTTTCATTTGTGTAAACTCTACACTCACAATAAACAACAAACCACTGTGCAGTTTGTGGAGTGTGTCATAAATTTGAATTGAAACTCAGTGTATATAGGCTACTAGCAAGTTCTTGCGCGCCATCTGACTTGTTTTGGGTTGGCGCCTAGATCATCTCTTCTTCTTCTGCTCTTTTTCCCCTTTTTCCTTTTTCCTGGCCTAAAATAAAGGAGTGGCTTAGGATAGCCGAGACCAATCAGGGTTGATTGTCCCAATTGTCTCGTGACATCCCTAATTATTATTATATAAACAACAATCAAATCAATTTCTCCCAAATCATTACTTTTCATATTATATTATATTATATTATATTATATTATATTATATTATATTATATTATATTATATTATATTATATTATATTATATTATATAAATACTCCACAGAACACTGTCCATGCTGTATTGATTTGACAAACACAGAACATTAGGTCCCATGGCGCCTCGTGGCGTTTAGGTCGATGCCTGTAGTCCTGGGATGCTCCTGCCCCTGCCGCAGTACTTTCCTCTGGCATCATTCCTGCAGTAAGGGTTAGGGTTGTCGTGGAAACCACTTTAGCCGTACCCAGAGAGGTTGGTGAGTCACCTGCAAGTTGTCGTGGAGACGCAGTGAGTAGTGTTGCCTGTTAGGTCTGTGATTCACACCTGATGTTCATCTCTCAGATGACTCTATTAATGCAGCCGCACAGTCTGGCGGGACTTCACTTGATGTATGTGTGTGTGTGTGTGTGTGTTTTCTACTATTTCCTGTGATACTGTATTTTAACCCTCTGTTTGTGTTTGTGCTTGAGCGGATGTATGCGTGAGTGTTTGTGGATTTTGACCAGCTCTATTTTTGGCCCCCCTCAAGCTATCCCCACAAGCATGAAATCACAGCTTTTACAGGACTGTTCTCTGCCTGATTATAGTCAACACTGCAGTTTTGTGCTGCAGGATTGCAGAGGACCAATCAAAACACTCACATCCTTATATCCCACAATAAATAGAGGTGACTTCTAACTTCTAAATATCACAGTTTAATGTTCATTGCAATTAAAAAAAAAGTATTTTTGTGTAAATCACTTTCTTGAAATGTACTGCGTTTAGTGTAATATAATAAATATGCTGGAGATGTTTACTAAATGAATTGAGAAAAAAGAAATATGTCTTCATAATTCATCTAAGTCATATCCTGAATGTTAACCATGAATTGTAAAAAAATGACTTGCAACCAACCAACCAAGCGGTTGTGAAATATTTTTTAAGAGTTACTCACAAGCAGAATACTAAACGATACAAGTTTACAATTAAAAGATGATGGAAGAAGGTCATGACTTTCAATAAACTCACAGCAACAGAAAACTAGTCAGTTCAGTATTTTGCTAACTAGTTACTTGTCAACAAAAGTGAAACTGTTTCCAGTCAGTTTTTGTTTTTGTTCTTTGCAATAATATTTTTTTGTGTTTCACGGTCCGATTGTGTGGGATTTGTTGAGGATTTATTTAGTGACAGCTTGTCAAAAACAGGATTTAGGTGGAAAGAGTCAAGACGTGGCTCAGCATAAGTCTTGTTCCAGCTGCTTTTATGTGTCTTTTCCTGTTTATTTATTTATCTCTTTTCTGTCCCTGTCTTCTGTCTGTTTGTCGTCTCTTCTTTTTTAACTGAAATGAGTTTAGTCATGTTCAATTATGGACACATGTGATAAACCAAATGTAAGACTGTTTTTTTTCCCCGATGTGGCCTCAGATTAGTTCAGCTGTCTCCGGTCCGCCATTACCATACTTGAGCAAATCATATCTGTCTGTTTTTCTTTTAACCCTTAAATGCAAACCTTGGGTCTTTAGTGACTCGGAACGTCATTCATCACCACCCTCCATTAATTAAAGTTAAACATCAACCTTTTTAGTATTCCTCAATCAATTCATTATAAACAATAATAATAATATACAAAGATGATATTATGCACTCAAGTTACTGCTGGCAGAAAACAAAAGAATAGGAAGAATCATCAGCAAATCTTGAAATGGCTCAGTGATTTACATTATAGCAAGTACTTGAGAATATGTTTGAGAAGGCGAATATGAGCCAGATGCTGAATATACTGGGAAATGAGCTGGTGATAATGGTATAAAACATTTACTCAAACTGAATCCTTCCAAGCTCCAAAAGATACAAAATATGCTTGAACTCTAATATCAGGAAAGTTTTATATTATTGCGACAGGTAGGGATTCATCCATGTTAGATATAGATTCGGGTCTCTAAAGATGAAACATTCATTCATTTAAGGGTTAGGCATTTGTCCAAATATATTAAAAAATACCTTGTTCTCTTCAATTCTTTGACTAGTCTGGTGGTATGAAAGAAGCAATCGCAAATACAATATAAATTATTTAATTTCATTTTAGTACTTTGACCATTGTGGTGGGTTTAACCAAGACAACATGGGCATAAGTACAATGTATTTTTTATTTATTTATTTATTTATTTTTTACAAAAATACAATGAATCTATATTTTATTTTATTTAACTATAAAATGTAATTCATTTATTTTCTCTTGAAGTACCAAGGTAGGTTGTCATTCAGTCAATCCATCAATCAATCTTAAATTTACAATATAGTACTACAATCAGTAGCAGTTTGATCACTTAATTTGGTAATTGTGCCATCAAAACTGCACATAATATAATATAGTAATATGTTTGCACATATTTATATTTATAGGCCGGCTAATCTTTTAGAATCTGTGACTGAAGAGTCTCTGTGTTCCCATGGCTCCTACATGCCTCATTTCTCTCTCAGTATCGCAGCTCAGAGAGGTTAATGGCTAATGACTGAAAGAGTAAAACACAAGTTGAATTCATCCCAGGCTTCCTGCCCATTACCAACAGGGTCAAGCCCCACTGAGCTTCCTACCACAGTCACAGAGCTGCTCGCTGTTATCGCAAAAACAGCTGCGAGCAGTTTTGACAGAGTCACACTCTTTCCCACCAGCTCCGTAAGGTTCTCTCTTTTTACACTCGCACACGTACGATCCCCCGACGAGGATGAGTGTTTTGATCCACCGCGAGCATCGTTTTAAGCGGCCGCTGACATGCATCAACAGAGAAAGTACAAATATAAATGCGCGTGCAAGCGACAATCGAGTCTGCCATTTTGTTTCAATTATTAACGCCGCTCAGTTTAGTGGTTCATGAATAATCTGCCATCATTTGCATGCCAGAGGAACGAAGCTTGTCAGTATTCATGACAGTGGTGTGTGTGAGGGGGGAAAAATAATCTGCGTATAGAAGTGTGTCCATGTGGACCCAATAGACTTTATAGCATTCATAAGTCTGCTCAGCGTTCACCATGAATACAGAATATCTTTTTATCATGTAATTACATACTCCTAATGTCAATGTCAAGAGAATAAGGCTGACATATGTTTGTTAACTCACTTTTGTGTCACTGAAGGGCAGTGTGAAATATTAAGCAAAAGTGTGTGTTATCTCTGATCTACAGTGGTGATTTTATTGTGAAACATGCTAATGTTTCAGATGTGTGCAAAGTCAAGGAACAAACACAATCAAGCATGATCTATGATTACTCAAGAACTAAATGACAGTCACAGCATCGGATGGTTTCTGTCATTGTTTTTTCTAGACATTTACCTACAGTAAGTAGCTTGAGTACAACTTGTTCGCTCATCCATTTGAGATGAGGTGCCTAAACCTCACGTGCCCAAAGTGAGTTCTGTCAGATTTTGTCAGATTTAGCTTACTATTTTGCCCTTGATGTGAAAGTAAACATATCTGCATGCTGCCTGGATTTTATTTGTTGTATTGCCTAATTATCTGCTTGTTTATTTTTTCCCGTAGAATGCAGGGGGGAAATATGATGCTTTTCTCTTGTTTTGACTATGGCAAACCTTGTTACTCATCTCCTGCCTTTGATTTGGCAATCAGCAGATTTGAACAACAGAAGGAAAGGAAAATGAGGATGGTGTTGAATAAATGAATGCAGCTTGGATTCGTCTCTGATTTTGTCCGGATGGATGCCGTAGGGCTTGTTGACTCACTTGCTAGTCACTCGTTTAGAGCCAACATAATCATCCCATACTGTTTTCCGCATTCCTTTGTGCAGAGCTGGAGAGATAGAGAATGCAGGGATGGTGTTACCGTTTCTGAACAGCATGGGTTTCTGTAGTATGGGCGTGTTTGTGATTTATGGGAAGGGTTTTTCTCAGTAATTTGGTGGAGTCGTCATGTAACTCACCCTTAACCTTGTTCTGCTCTCTTTCTTTCTCTTTTCCTCTGTTTCATCCCTCATTCACAGAGAGTGATCCTTCTCTTGGGAAATCTGCTCAGACCATAATGTGATCCCACTCCTACACTGTGAATGTATATACAGTACATGTGCTATTTTTTAATTATATGGCTTGAATCCAAAATACACACATACATAAGCACACACAGCAAGATGTACTGAACTTAGGGATGAAAGACCTTGATACTAATATTATGAATAATAATAATAAATATATATTTTTTGATGTATTTGCTGTTTTTTTTTGTATGCAGAAGTCAAGCTTCCCTTAAAAAATAGATACTTTAATATCTATATATAGTGGTTATGGTATACATTGATGGTGTCACAAGGTAAGACAATGGTGCTTTGAGAGATACCATACTAAATGACTTCCATATTCAACATACTTCAAATACCATGATAACAAATTAGCATAACAGACTTTTTTTGTACAGCTAAAATAACTTGAAGCGAATGACACCTTAAGTCTTACACATTCAAGTTTTACTAGTAAACAAAAATGATTGTTGTTTGGAGTTTGCAGGTATTTGTTGGAGTTTATTATGGAAGAGTTGGTTGGAGTTTGTTGGTATTTGTTGGGGAAGAGTTGTTTGGAGTTTGCAGGTATTTGTTGGAGTTTATTATGGAAGAGTTGGTTGGAGTTTGTTGGTATTTGTTGGAGTTTGTTGGTGAAGAGTTGGTTGGATTTTGTTGCTATTTGTTGGGGAAGAGTTGGTTGGAGTTTGTTGGCATTTTTGGAGTTTGTTGGGGAAGATTTGGTTGGAGTTTGTAGGGCTGTCAACTTCAGTCGTTTGGTCGACCAGTTGCATTTTTTTTACCTATAGAAAGAAATTTTCAATGATTTACTCCTTGATATTTATTACTTTATGAGCAGTTTTATATTACTGTATTCTAAATATAATTAGACTATGTTTTATCCCCAACTTTAAATGCTTTAAGTCAGGCTAATTTGTATCAGCGCCACAGTTTAGCGCACACACATAGAACACTCGGTTCGCACCTGTTGCTGGCTGCGCTGCTGCTTCGGGCTCAGTAAGGGAAATGTAGTTTAGCTGTATTCATTCAGTTAGAACACTACTTGTTTTGGTTTTTATGTTTTTATACACTAAATGTTTTTATATCAATGCGGCGTGAACGCACTTGGAGCGCGTCGCACTGCGACCACGTTGCTTCCATTGTGAGCGCGCACACCGTGCGCCTACATTTGAAATCGAACTTGAGTTTGTTGGGGAAGAGTTGGTTGGTATTTATTGGAGTTTGTTGGGGAAGAGTTGGTTGGAGTTTGTTGGGGAAGAGTTGGTTGGAGTTTGTTGGGGAAAAGTTGGCTGGAGTTTGTTGGTATTTGTTGGAGTTTGTTGGGGAAGAGTCGGTTGGAGTTTGGGGAAGAGTTGGTTGGAGTTTGTTGGGGAAGAGTTGGTTGGAATTTGTTGGGGAAAAGTTGGTTGGAGTTTGTTGGTATTTGTTGGAATTTGTTGGGGAAGAGTTGGTTGGAGTTTGGAAGAGTTGGTTGGAGTTTGTTGGGGAAGAGTTGGTTGGAATTTGTTGGGGAAAAGTTGGTTGGAGTTTGTTGGTATTTGTTGGAATTTGTTGGGGAAGAGTTGGTTGGAGTTTGGAAGAGTTGGTTGGAATTTGTTGGGGAAAAGTTGGTTGGAGTTTGTTGGTATTTGTTGGAATTTGTTGGGGAAGAGTTGGTTGGAGTTTGTTGGGGAAAAGTTGGCTGGAGTTTGTTGGGGAAGAGTTGGTTGGAGTTTGTTGGGGAAAAGTTGGCTGGAGTTTGTTGGGGAAGAGTTGGTTGGAGTTTGTTGGTATGTGTTGGAGTTTGTTGGGGAAAAGTTGCTTGGAGTTTCTTGGTATTTGTTGAAGTTTGTTGGGGAAGAGTTGGTTGGAGTTTCTTGGTATTTGTTGATGTGTATTGATGTTTGTTGGTGTTTATTGGAGTTGGTTGATGCTTGTTGGATTTGTTGGGCAGAGTTGGTTGGAGTTTGTTGGGTTTTTTGTGTGGATTGGAGTTTGTTGGTATTTGTTGGAGTTTGTTGGGGAAGAGTTGGTTGGAGTTTTGTTGGTATTTTTTTTGAGTTTGTTGGGGAAGAGTTGGTTGGAGTTTGCAGGTATTTGTTCGAGTTTATTATGGAAGAGTTGGTTGGAGTTTGTTGGTATTTCTTGGAGTTTGTTGGGGAAGAGTTGGTTGGAGTTTGCAGGTATTTGTTCGAGTTTATTATGGAAGAGTTGGTTGGAGTTTGTTGGTATTTCTTGGAGTTTGTTGGGGAAGAGTTGGTTGGAGTTTGTTGGTATTTGTTGATGTGTATTGATGTTTGTTGTTGTTTATTGGAGTTGGTTGATGCTTGTTGGAGTTTGTTGGGGAAAGTTGGTAGGAGTTTGTATTTTTTGTGTGGTTTGGAGTTTGTTGATGTTTCTTTGCGTTGATTGGAGTTTGTTGGTATTTGTTGGAGTTTGTTGGAGAAGAGTTGGTCGGAGTTTGATGGTATTTGTTGGAGTTTATTGGGGAAGAGTTGGTTGGTATTTGTTGGAGTTTATTGGGGAAGAGTTGCTTGGAGTTTGTTGTTATTTGTTGGAGTCTATTGGGGAAGTGTTGGTTGGAGTTTGCCGGTATTTGTTGATGTTTGTTGATGTTTGTTGGGGAAGAGTTGCTTGGAGTTTGTTGGTATTTGTTGGGGAAGAGTTGGTTGGAGTTTGTTGGTATTTGCTGGAGTTTGTTGAGGAAGAGTTGGTTGGAGTTTGTTGGTATTTTTTGGAGTTTGTTGGGGAAGAGTTGCTTGGAATTTGTTGGTATTTGTTGATGTTTATTGGTGTTTATTGGAGTTTGTTGATGCTTGTTGGAGTTTCTTGGGGTTGGTTGGAGTTTGTGGATGTTTGTTGTAATTTTCTGGTGTCTGTTGGGGTTTCTTGGTATTTGTTGTAGTTTGTTGACGTTTGTTGGTGTCTGTTGGAATTTTGATGGAGTTTGTTGGTATTTGGTGGTGTAGTTTGTTGGGTCACTGTGAACTGGCCTTATTGGGTAAACATGCAGTGATTGCCCAATATATTTCTGTTTCATTCTCCATTGTAATAGCTTTTTGTATTTTGTTTTAATAACAAACTGTAGGGAAAGTCCAAATTATTTTCTGTACATTGGCAGAAAATAGTACATATAACCTAGAATAATTCAGCAAAATATGCTAAAATAATTGACAAAACACTATGATTAAGAAAAAACAGTAAAACAATGAAGTGGTTCACTTCTGTGTGTGTCCTACACTGGCTTTCAGAGTGTGTGTTAAAGGTAATGGTGCAAAGTCTCTGCATTTGAACCTCAGTGTTCAGCCATTTCATTAGCATTGAAGACACAGTGTTCCTTCAGAGTCTTTTTCAGCTCTTGCTGGATGTTCATTCGTTGAATTCCTGCATGATTTAGTTTCTTTCCATAAACCCTTTTGCCTTCCGGCTGCATCACAGCTATAAGTGGCACTTAATGTTGATGACTTTTTAAATCAATGGCGGGAATACATTTATCTGACGAATCCGTCTTAGTAGTCTGCTTATTGTTTTTATTTTATGAATCTAGCAATTTTAATTTCAGAATATCTCTCTCTATTTTGTCTCTCTGAAGGCCACTTCTCACATGTGTCGGTCAGTGATGCAGAGCGCGGTAACCATGGTGACGACTCTACAGGCCTGACTCCTGACTGTTCGCCTCCTTCACCTGATACGGCCCTGAGGAATATTGAGAGAGTCATCCGCCCCCAGGTACACACACAGATACAGGAACACACATCCACACAGAGTCTATTATGTTGCTCTGCTCTCAAGGTTAATGGTGCTCTTTTAGATAAAACGTAGTCTGGCTGTAACTATCGCAGCATCTGTGTGTGGGAGTCATACACACATGCACACACACACACACACACACACTCACTCACTCAAGAGCAGTACTGTCTTACATCTACGCTGAGATACTGAGCATTCTTCATCTTAATTATATGGCTATTATAAATATGCACAGGCCCGACGGGCGGATTCTCTTCATGCTTTGATATGCAATTGTCCCAAGCCTCGCTCATTTTCACTCCTTCAAACTTGAGGGGTTTTATTTGATTATCATCAGTTACAGTATAGTAATATCAAGCTTTAGTGTTCCCAAAATGTGCCTGGACACTTAAAAAGGCATGCTTAAAATTGTATGAAAGTAGCATTTACCAAACCAAGTGGCATTTAATAAAATAAAATAAAAAAGAACAGAGGCATACTTAGCAAAATGTTATAAAAAATAATAATATAAATTATTGAATGTATATTGTTTTTATTAATTAATTAAATTAATATGAGTTATAATTAATATGAATTGTTTATTCATTATTATAAATATACATGTAATCATACATTATAAAACAAACTGTCAAATAAGATTACAATATGTTTTAAAAGAAAATACTATTTACATTTTTCTACTTCAAATATTGTTTAATTCAATGTTGTAATTTCTTTTTCTTTGTAATTATTTGTGAAATATACTAGAAATTTGAACTAGAAAGTGCCACAATTCATGCTGACAAAAGAAATTATACAAATCATTCACAGCACAAATACCCACCTAAAAAGTAATAAATGCAATTTATATGCTGCAATTGTCTATCTTGCGATTCTGAGAATACAGATTCTGACTGTATGACATACTTTACTGAGACTCTACAAATCAATGTACCGCTATGATCCGCTATGGGTTAGGGGTGGGTTCAGGTTTAGGGTTAGTAACTAGTTATTACCCAGTTATTACAATTACTATAATAAGTACATTGAATATACATGGGAAACAGGACTGTAAAAAAATCAAAGTGCTACTGTTATTACTATAACTGCATGTAACATGTAATAAGTACACTGTAAAATAAAGTTACCCTGAATGCTTGTGTGTGGTAATACCGGTATGTTTAATTACCCCAGTCAAATAGTGCTGACTATTGCACATTAGGCTCAAACTAGTGCTATATTGGTCCAGATAGTCCCTGATTAAACTTGATTGCAAGTGGTTATTGAAAAGGTATTCTCAACTGGTATTAGAAAAAAGGGCTCAGAGTAATCTAATTAGATCTGAAGAAAAAAAAGCTCTAGCATCATTTGCTCGCAGATGCCACTTGGTTTTTAATATAATTGAAATTATTTTGAACTGTGGCTTAGGTTTTCAAATTCTATTTGAGGCCACCTTATACAGTATGATGTTGTCTCTCTCCTGATAAGTCTCTCTCTCTGCTTGCGACTTATTATCTCTTAGAAGAGTGTGAATGGGCTCTTTATTCGTCCCTGTCAGAGTGCTCAGTGCATCCTATCAGAGTCATGTTTGTCCTCTTTTCAGACGAACACAATCACTCGTTTATCTGCGCTGGCCTGACTTTGGGCCATGCTGCTTGTGTGCTGAGCACCCGCAGGATTAGAAAGAGACACAACTGTGCATGTTCTCCCCCCACTGTCTTCAACAACAAACTCCACAATGCCCCAGTCAGGCACATGACGTGTGCTGTGTGCTTTTTAAAAAGATTTATTTCATTTTTTCCAGTCCATCTTCAACTGCTGGTTAATAAGTCACATAACGTGACATTTTCTCCCTATTTTATGTCTTTTCTGTTTTTCATTTCAGATTGAGTTGCGAAACTACGCAGACAAATGCATTGTAGCGTTGTATCGCTTTTGAAGCGTTGTATTGCTTCACAATAGTCCATACATGACACTAAGTATGAGCTGTTCACACCTGGTCACTTGGGTCTCCGCAAGACGATTGTAGAATATAGGAATAGAATAGGAATGCGTCTCAAATCCCCTCCTGAAGCGGTTTGGATTTTGGATTTTAATCCATCCTGAAAGTTTTTTGGAGGGCATTTACACCTGGTCTTTTCATGATCAGATCACAGAAAACGACCAGGTCTACAGGCTGGAAATCATCACACAGCACTCATGATCACTGAAGTGGACTGTCAGTGGGCTCCCGCACACTGATGGGACAATCGAGCTCCTCATTTGCTCGATGCACAAGCAAAGTGGAGTCTAGTCACGTCTGATAATCAAATGCTACGGCTCGTCCAGGTGTGCCTCTACTTCCCGAGGGAGAGAGGAAGAGACTGATGCGGGATCATTTGCCTCTAGCTTCATTTAAATTACTACATAAGGCACCATTGATGATGTGTCCATTTATAAGGAGGTGTAACCTAGTGGTAAATGACCCCGGCTGGTAAGTGTAAGGTGGTAGGTCTTTGAGCTGTCATCATCAATCAAGATACTTAACCTCAAGCTACTCCTGGGAGACCTTTCCCTTCATTTAAAATGGGCCCGCTCCTCTGGTGACTTTGTGTGCTCAAAGCTGCTTAAAAAAACATCAATAATATTCTGTTCAATATTACATTTACATATATATATATTACTGTCGGGCAGCAATCTTGTATCTCCATATTTTATATATTTTTTCCATAAATCATTTCTACTGGTCCCCCTTTACGTCTGTCTGTGGGTTTTGCAAATATTGAACCAATGAAAAGTATTAAAAAGAGCTTGTGACTAAACCTTGTCAATCCATTGGTCAAATGGATTGTGCATTTAGTTTTGAACATTTTGCTTGTTTGCAATGTAAAGAGCTGGTTATTTGACTAAGCCAGCATTTTCTTTACTTTAGAAACACTGTATAAATGCTTATGTTTTATGTATTTGAGGAGTAGAGAAGAGTGTCTTAGTCTAGCCTGCTCTCGAATCATAGGCAATACTGTCTTAAATAGCCTGTGCTTAGCACTTCATTTTTAATAACTAGCCAATGAGATTTTGGCCAAATGACAGAAAAAAGTGAGTGTCCACATACTACAGTAAACACAGTAACCTGTAAGTTGAAGAAAACGTAACGCGATCCACTTACTGCCTCAGATGTGGCCGTTCTAATGACGGACAAAGCATGTATGTACAAAAGTTAACCTTGTAACTCCATTTAAACATTTGGTAAAATGTTAATAATCTAATTGGCTATAATATAAATCTGACCATATATAAAGCCGCAATGTCAACTTTGACAACATGTTTTTGGAGAGACAGGTTTTCTGCCTGGCAGCGACGATAGATAAGCTTTGTTCCAAGCCAATGAACTGCATACCTAGACAGCATTTTTAGGCAGCATATTGCAGTCGTAAAACAAATACATCCTATTATCTTTGATTCTATTCTACAAATATAAGCTATATTCCAAAACTGAGTGAGCAGCCTACACTCTCAGAAAAAAAGGTACAAAATCTGTCACTGGGGCTGTACCTTTTCAAAAGGTAAACTTTTGCCCATTTTAGGTGCTAATATGTACATTTTAGGAGAGGTGCTAATATGTACATTAAGTTCTAATATACATTTTAGGTGCTAATTTGTACATTTAGGTGCCAATATGTACATTTAGGTGCTAATATGGACATTTATTTGCTAATATGTACATTTTAGGTGCTAATATGGACATTTATTTGCTAATATGTAAATTTTAGGTGCTAATATGGACATTTATTTGCTAATATGTACATTTTAGGTGCTAATATGTACATTTAGATTCTAATATGTACATTTTAGGTGTCAACATGTACATTTAGGTGCTAATATGTACATTTTAGGTGCTAATATGTACATTTTAGGTGCTAATATGGACATTTTAGGTGCTAATATGGACATTTAGGTGCTAATAAGTACCATTAAGGTACCAATATGCATCCTTTAGATACAAAAGCGTACCTTTTGAAAAGGTACAGCCCCAGTGACAGCTTTTGGACCTTTTTTCCTGAGAGTGTACCCACTAGTGACAGCATTTATCTTATCTTATTTTGGTCAAAATCTAACTCACACTTTCAAGAAATCTTTGTGATGAAGACATTCCCAGAAAGCAGTACAACAAGCTAAGTGAAAAAAAAAAACATCCAAGATTTAATCCATTTAATCCAAAACTAACACGTTTCACTAGTGTGTGCCGTCATGTATATTTGTCTTGTTAGCTTAGCAACATGCTAAAACTCTTTTGGAATCAGTTGATTCCAGTAGTGTTTAACATTACAATGTTTCTAAGCTAACAAGACAGTTTCTTTTCAAACATTAAAATACAAATCATTTGGTTGTTAATCACTTCTGAGGTACCATTTGAACAGCAGGCAGTTCACTAGAGTTGGTCTTGAAACAGACCTGTATTATTTTAAAACTGCTTTTTGGACATTGTAACAATTGTGTTTTACTTAATTTAATTTCTTGTTTAACAAGGCTTTCCAGTAAATAATTGATTCTTGATCTAAATCGGCTTGGCAGAGGACAATGCATAATTAAATTTTGGGAAAAAATGTAATTAACCTTTGTAGAAAAGCCGAATGACAGTGAAATGTGTTCTTTTGTGTGGATGAATGTGGACAGTAGGAGCTCTTGAGCTGTAGTGGGGACAGAGAATCCTCTTGATGCTTTATCAGCTATATTTACACACACATACACACATAAACACAACCACTGTTAAACTGCTGAGCGAAAGACTGCATTTCTGTAGTCAAATGTGTGCTTTCTCATTTAGGTTTTTTGGGGAAAGAGTATAAATACTTTTAACACTGAGGTTAAAGAGCACTAAATACAAAACTGTCAGACTATTCTGTCAGCTTCAATGTAAATGTATTAACATTTGAAAAAAATGTGCAAATTATACCTTGAATATTCAGATCAACCAAACAGAAAAACAACCTGATGAGTGTTCACTCATATAGGTTTAGAGT